GTGATCCTCAGAAAGCCTCCTAACACACTACCCGCCGCAGCCACTAACTGTCAATTGGAGTTGACTTGGGAGGTGAAACTCATGAGCCAGCCCTGCAGGAAAGCGTTACTGCAGATGAACAGGACACAATCAGAGGCAACAAAGAATGTGCCCCAGAGATCAGGAACTTTGCTTTGATCACTCCTAGGCTTCAGGGCCTAGGACAGTGCATGGTACATAGGAAGCACTCAGTAAATATTTGTTGAATGAGAGAATGAATGAATGAATGAATGAAAGCTGTGATCTATAGAGCCAGTGTCACACCTTCAGAAGATTTACAGAAGATGAAGACAGACAAAAAGAAGGACAAAACCAACCCTAATGCAAATTACCCGAAGACAGGCACCATATAACTTTGTGGGTAAAATGAGAAAAGAGAGCAGTCTGATTAGTGTGAGTAACACAGCATTTAAAAAGAAATACGGTGAGGCGCCTGAGTGGCTCAGTCAGTTTAGCATCCGACTTTCGCTCAGGTCATCATCTTATGGTTCCTGAGTTCAGGCCCCACATTGGACTCTGTGCTAAGAGCTCAGAGCCTGCAGCCTGTTTCGGATTCTGTGTCTCCTTCTCTCTCTGCCCTTCCCCAGCTCATGCTCTCTCTCTCTCAAAAATAAATAAACATTGAAAAAAGTTATTTTTAAATAAAAAAATATGGTAATGCTTTCAAGCATCTAAATCTAGGCTCACAGTCTTCTCAGATAGTCTAATAGGCCTGTTTTAATAAGCAGATGAAAATATTTATAATTAGTAACGCCATTTGCCTTACACTGTTTATTTACAATTTAAGTTAGTAAATAAATGTCTTATTTTTGGAGTGAGGACCTTCAGCCCAAATTGTGAGTGAGTGAGTCTGAATGAATAAGGTCTTGAAGTACTCAAACACGAGTCCCAAGGGCTCTCACATGTCCTTTGCTCACAAAACCTAGTAGGGCCCTTGTACAGAGACTTTTTTTTTCCTCTGACTCTAACACAAACATATTTTTAATTTTCCTATTGTAAAATCCATACGTAAAGTTCTTAAAAGTTCCAAAAATACAAACATTCAAGTAGACAGCACAGGGCGCCTAGCTGGCTCAGTCAGAAGAGCATGTGACTCTTGATCTCAGGGTGATGAGTTCAAGACCCATTTTAAATTTAAGTAATTTAAGATTACTTACATAAATATGAGAAAAAAGAGAATAGAAGAGAAAAAAAGGGAAAGAGAAGAGAAATGAAGAGAGAATAGAATAGAATAGAATAGAATAGAAAAGAAAAGAAAAGAAAAGAAAAGAAAAGAAAAGAAAAGAAAAGAAAAAAGAAAAGTAGAGGGCAGAAAGTAAGCCATTTCCTTTCCCCCCAGTCTTTCCCCTCTTCTCCCACCCAACTGACAACTAGGTCAGCAAACTATGGCCTATGGGCCAGATCTGGCCAACGGTTTGTTTTTGTCAGCTTGGGAGCTAAAAATGGTTTTTACATTTTTAAATGGTTGGAAAAAATCAAAAGAAAAATATTTTGTGGCATGTGAAAATTACATGAAATTCAGTTTTCAGTGTCCATAAAATAAAGTTTTACTGGCACATGGCCATGGCCATTTGTTTCTGTGTTGTCTGTGGCTGCTTGCTCACCAGAGTTGCAGACTAAGGAGCCACCCGGCTCTAACGGATAGATCCTGTCAGCCTTTCGGAAAAACACTGTTTTCTAACTCACTATCTTTTATCTATCCATCTATATGTCAAACAAATTGCTTGACACAATACCCCTTGTTTGTCAATCTGCGTTTGTTTCTTTCAAATACATACTGTGGCCCTCTGAAGTTTTCCTAAGCCCATCCACTTTCTAATAGGTATTTCACCACCGGCCATAACCCTATTAAGTTCCTCAAAGGCATTTTACCACCAGCCACGCATTCAAGGGCATTTGAATGCCCTTCCTTGCTTATCTTATATAGAATACTGAACACAGGGAGTACAAATTGGAAAGGACCCAGAAGAAATGGGAGCGATAATCCCATGACTTCCCTTCACAGTAAACACACCACCCTGGTAATCAATCACTTTCCAACTTGGCCTGTCAGGCCTGGCGGAACACACCCTCTGTAATTGTGCTGTCTTGTTGGGAAAATACTTGCCGAGCAAATGTCTTAGGTGAGTGGGGAACCCCAAAGAAAAATGTTTGCTGTTATTCTTCTGTCCTTTTAGCTAATGTGAGGAACTAACTTGAGGCAAGGTAGTTCTTATACCTACTTTCCAGTGACTCACAGATTCCCATGGAGTCTGATTTTATGTTGGTGCAGCTTTTTCACAATCATTCTGACAGCACTTTGCGGACATTCTACCAGCAAATGCTTTTTCTTAGGAGACTCCCATTTCGTTGGGAAATGCATTCTAATGCAGAGGGGTCTTTGGTATTTGCTTTAGTGAGGACAGAGGAAAAAAAACGTTTTTAACTCTGCAAACAAAAAATAGTTTCTGGGACTGATTCTCAGGGATGGTTTGAATTGCGAGCTCAGTTTCTCCTAGAGGAGACTTCCTGTGATACACTGATATTAAAGGAAATGAAATTTTCTGAGCTCACACTGAATCTAGTGTATACTAGTTCAGCAAAGCAGACACATGTTCCACTTACCACTGCTGTGTAACGTACCATCCCAAAACTTGGCGGCTGAAACAATAATTTTTTTTCCTTGTAAAATCTGCAATTGGGGCAGTGCGCAGCGGGGGCAGCTCACCTCTGCCACAGGTGGCATTATCTGGGGTCACTCAACCGAGACCGGAGGGTGCACCTACAAGACAGCTCACTCACATGCCTGGGAAGGTGGAGCAAGCTGTAGGCTGGGAGCTCAGCCGGGGCTGTCGGCCAGCGGCCTTATTTCCTTTCCCTGTGGGCCTCCTTGGGCTTCCTCACATGGTGGCAGCCTCCTCACATGGTGGCAGCCGGAATCTAAAAGCCAGTGGTCAAGGAAGCGAAGACAGATGCCACAAGTCTTCTCTTCTCATAGTTCCCCTCGTATGTCACAGTGCATTCTACCAATTAGGTAAACCATCAGTTTTACTGCATTCTACCAATTAAGAAAATCATCAAAGTCAGCTCAAATTCAAGAGGAGGGGAACCTGATGGCATACCTCAACAGGAGGAGTTGCAAAAACTGTACAGCCATCTTTAATCTACCATAGCACATAGAAGAATGATGTTACTGTGTCTCTGAAAATCATGTTCGGACACTGAAGTGGTAGCACAGAGAAGCTAGAAAAAGGATTAGAGCACCCCCAGTCTGCATACATTCTCCCGGGGCGAAACAAGCCACAGTAGTCAAGAGCATAGGCTGCCTGGGTATGATTCGAGCGTGGCCATGGACCTGCTGTATGAGCGTGGACAAACTGCTTGACCTTTCCATGTCCCCATATCCTCCTCAACAAGAAAGGGAAGATAATCATGTCTACTGCATAAGGTTTGTTTGGGGGAAATCAAGATTCTGCTTTTTAAGCAATTAAGATACTTTTAAAAACTGATGAACATGCATAGAGATATACATAAATCGTAAGTACTTTATGTATTTTCACAAAATGAATACACTCATCTGACCACCATGCAGATCAAGGAAAGGAACTCTGCCAAGACTAGAAAAACAGTGGTGAGTGGTAGGGACTTTGCTCCCTCTAATGCAGTCAGCAGACCCTTGGCTCTTGCCGTGGGTGCCAGAGACACATCAAAGTGGCATGGCACGGGGCGCCTGGGTGGCTCCCTCAGTTGAGCGTCCGACTTCGGCTAAGGTCATGATCTCACAGTTCGTGAGTTTGAGCCCCGCGTCAGGCTCTGTGCTGACAGCTCAGAGCCAGGAGCCTGCTTCGGATTCTGTGTCTCCAGCTCTCTCTGCCCCTCCCCCACTCACGCTCTGTCTCTGTCTTCTCAAAAATGAATAAATGTTAAAAAAAATTTTTTTTAAAACATAACAAACAAAAAAACCAAAGTGGCATGGCAAGTTGAAATAAACATACCAGAGGGCCAGACTTAGCCCCCAGGCGCCTGTCTGCAACCTTGCAGGAGGGTCTGGAACAGCGGTAAGGGGGGTAAGGGGCCGGGAAGATGGGAGGACACAGAAGCACAATAACAAGATATTAGCACAGACGTCAACAATTCAGGTGTAGCTAAGCATGGCAGGGCTAATGGGTATGGAATGGCCTCAAGGTTCCGGAAGGGACCTTGGCTTGACGTTGTCCTGATACAGGAAGAAGGTTTCCTGATTCTGGGAAAGACTCAGAGACAAACTTGACACAAAGCCAAGTGCTCCCCCTTCACACGCACCACCTATTTTAATCTCTAAACATCCCATGACCAACTGTCCTAAATCTCTCTTCCTCACGCACCCCCCTTTCCGCCTTTCCACTCAGAGGGACATTTTTACTTTCCCCCCTTTCCTCACCGTCTTGTCTTGATTTTTTTATATATTGCCCTTCTGCGTGGAATTGCTACAGTTCTTTCTCTTCTAAAATGTCCCACAGCACACATACTGTTGGAAGATTTGGGCACTTCAGATCCTTTTTGGAAAGAGAGATAGATACGGGTAGTGACATGAAAACAAAAGTCCTGTTCACAATTCTGTCTCTGGCATCTGGTGGACCTCTCCAAATAATCCCAAGCCCTCGGCACCCTGGCTGGGGCACCTGGTGTAAGCAGTGGCTGATGGAAAGCCTCCTAGTGGCAGGAGGAGGGAAATCTAGAATCACTAGATCCACCCGGCAGATCTAGGGAAAGGCTGCCCACGGGATGCAGCTGGTAAGAGCAACATGACGAAGATGCTTGATTTATTCACAACTATTTAGACCGAACGACCTCCTGAACATCGTATATATGTGCCTGCAGCATCCTAAATAAGAGTGTGCCCAGGCAGAGTTAAGCTGAGTGCCCAGCAAAGAGCAGGTGAGCTATAAACCCTTCCCCTCTCCGCACCCCCTCCCTCTCTTCTAGGACTCTATCTGGCTGTATGCGGTCCCATGAAGCTTTATTTACGTATCAATCCTGCTAGTGACAGCGGGCTCTTTTTCTCCAGCTCTTCTACTGCCTCACTGATCTGAACTGCACGGCCACGCTGGTTTTCTGTGGACCTGGGAACAATGGCAATTGTGAATCATTTCATTCACATCATTGAGTGTTTCTGGAAGTATGTTTTGTCTTTTATAAATAGTCATCACCTTCGAGGCAGTGTAATGGTACAGTTGGCTTGTTCGTGTGCTCGGCACACATTCTGTTGGGACATCCAGGTACTTTGAATACATTTGGAAAGAAGCAAGACAGAAATTAATAAAATCAAAGTGAAGAAGGAGATTTTTTTTCCTTTAGAAATCTCATTTTTTTCACCCAGTATCCTTAAGTATAGTGCTTTTTACCAAACACTGTCTTGAGTATTTTAAATATTATAGCATAAAATAAAACCAAAAACTAATTATGTATTGGCTTCTCATTGGTTAAGAGAACACTAGATTCTTTTTCACACTGGGAATAAAAATCCTCACTCAATAATTTATGATGAGCTGAAACTTTTATATAAGAAAGTCAGGATTATTTAGGAGAAGGAGAGTATGAGTGGTGATGGGAACATGTTTTAGGTTCTACAAATAGTAGTACTTTATGAGACAAATATAGTTCATAACACTCGAAATTTGGCATGGAGAATATTATTTTGGTTTCGATTTTAAAATATTTTTATTTGCATCTACATTTTAAAGGCATTTAAGTGTAAGCATGTTATTCTAGAAACACAAACGCACACATATTTTTATGTACACTAGACTATAAATCCATTCTGAAATATGTTTTTTCAAAAACTTAATAATGCAAGTCTTTATATTATAATAGCTACACCTGCAATGTTACAGTTGTTAACTCTAGGGGCGCTCAGCTGGCTTAGTTGGCAGAGCACGTGAACTCTTGACCTCAGGGTCATGAGTTCAAGCCCCACGTTGGGCATGGAGCCTACTTAAAGGAAAAATTAACTCTATGGTTAGATATTAGGTCCAGTATTTCACTACTTCAAACAATGCTTAGACAATCATAATGTACATAATGTACATGCCTGTCCCAGTATTTCCCTAGAACAATCTTTTTTTTTTTTTAATGTTTATTCATTTTTTGAGAAAGAGAAAGAGAGACAGAGTGCAAGCAGGGGGAGGGGCAGAGAGAGAGGGAGACACAGAATCTGAAGCAGGCTCCAGGCTCGGAGCTGTCAGCACAGAGCCCGACACGGGGCTTGAACCCACGAACCGTGAGATCATGACCTGAGCCGAAGTCAGATGCTTAACCAACTGAGCCACCCAGGTGCCCCAGAACAGTCTATGTTAGAAGTGGAGTTATTAGAACAAAGAATTTTTTACTTCCCTTCACTTCACTTTATTTTTTAAAGCAGACTTTATGCCCAGCACAGAGCCCAAAGCAGAGCTCAATGCAGGGCTTGAACTCATGACCCTGAGCTCAAGACCTGAGCTATGATCAAGAAGAGTTGGATGCTTAACGAACTAAGCTACCCAGGTACCCCAGAATATACATATTTTAAAGCTTAGAATGTAGACTCCAAACTTTCCTCCCGAAAGATCTTTTCAACTTACACTCCCACCAGAATGCTCTTCTCCACACCCCTGCCAGCAAAGGATCCTTCATTTCTTTACTATCTTCATCTCATCGGCATACATTTTAAATTGCATATCTCTGACTGTGAGGTTTATTTTCCTCACACATTTGCTGCCATCTGAATTTCTTCTGCAGGGAACTGCCTATTCGTGGCCCAGACCGATACCGGGTCTTGGCTGAGGCTTCACCACCCACACTGTGAAGGCACAACAGACGTCTCCGGCCTCCACAAGCCTGTGCGCACTTCTGAAATAGCTCCGGCCGTAAAATATAAATAGGGCGAGGCAGGAGAAGGAATGATTCAAACAAAGCTTTTAACTTCTTGTCTGACGTAAACAAAACACGCTCTCCAGTGCGGGTCAATACAATGAGTACTTCTTGCTAAAGAAAAAGGGCTGGCTCCAGCTGCTAAGTCACTTACATAATGTTCCACTTGGCAACACGACTTTGATTCCTTTTGCAAGTAAAGGCGGCTTATGGCTAGCCGAGCTCCAAGCAATACATGAATGACAATAGGCTAAATATAGTCACACAGATACACATCTATATTATATTATAATATATACTATGTATTATTTTCACAGAGATATATACTTGTATTATATTATATATTATAATGTATTATATTCACAGACACATATCTATATTATGTATATAGACACATACATATATACATATATATGGGCTCATATATATATGAGTCCATTCTTTTTTTATTTTTTAATGTTTTATTTATTTTTGAGACAGAGAAAGAGCATGAGTGGGGAAGGAGCAGAGAGAGAGAGAGAGAGAGAGGGAGACACAGAATCCTCAACAGGCTCCAGGCTCTCAGCTTTCAGCACAAAGCCCCACACGAGGCTTGAACCCATGAACTGTAAGTTCATGACCTGAGCCAAAGTTGGACATCCAGCAGACTGAACCACCCAGGCACCCCTTGAGGAGTCCAGTTTTTTACACAAAGTCTAATCACTATTTTATTATTTAATCCAGTTAATTTTTTTCTTTCTTAAATGTCAAATACTGCTAGGCTGAAGATCCTTTTTTTTCTTTTAAGTTATTTATTTTGACAGAGAGAAAGAGAGAGAGAGCAAGCATGCAAGCAGGAGAGAGGCAAAGAGAGAGGGAGAGAGAGACTGCCAAGCAGACTCCGCACTGTCAGCTCAGAGCCTGACTCTGGGCTCGAACTCACAAATCATGAGATCATGACCCGAGCTGAAACCAAAGGCTGAAGTCTCCTTTTAAATAAAACATCTGAAATCCAAAATCTCATTCCAAATATTTTATCACTTTAAGTGTTAAACAGTATCTCATATTCAAGGATGTGTCCCTGGTATTCCAAGTTCATTATTTCCTATTCCAAGCCGAATTTGCCTCCTATATTCACTATTTCTGTTCAATGGCATGGCTATCTTCCCTGGTATTAAGTATTAACATACTTTTTATTTCTTTATTTTTCCTTCTCCCTTTCCCTCCATGCCTAATCAACTGCCAAACTGGAGATTTCTCTCTCTCTCTCCATACATACACACACACATACACATAGAGTATATATTTATACTCCCATACATACACACACACACATATATATATATATATATATAACAGCTTTTAATTTTAAAAGAGTTTTATATTTACAGCAAAATTGCAAAGCTAGTCCAGAGTTGCTGTAACCTGCCAACCATAGACCCCCCCCACCCAACCTCCAATGCTGACATCTTACATTACCACAGTACATTTGTCACAACTAAGGAGCCAACACTGATTCAGTCCTCTTACTGAAACTCCACATACTGTTCAGATGCCACTAGTTTTTCCCTAATTCTGTCCCAGGATCCCATCTCCAGGATTACGTGTAGTCATCATGTCTCTTTAGTCTCCTCTGGTCTGTGACAGTTTCTCACGTTTTCTGCATATGTGCGTGTGTGTGTCTGTGTGTTGCCCATACTTCCTTGTTTTTGATGACCTATACAATTTCGAGGAATGTGTGTCGGGTATTTTGGAGAATGTCCCTCAATCTGGGTTTGTCTGATGTTTTTATCATGAGGTAGTGGCGTTTTTGGAGGACAACCACAGAAGTGAAGTCCCACTGTCATCCCACATCAGGGGTACATGCCACCACCGTGACTTGTGATTCATATTAGCCCTGATCACCTCGCTGGGGTAGTGTTCGCCAGGTTTCTCCCTTCTCAAGTTTCTCCCCACCTCCCCCCCACCCCAACCCTGCTTTCCATACTCATTTTGCAGAGGAGGAAATGAAGGTCAGAAGTTAAATGACTACATCACTGCTAAAAAGTAGCAAAACTAAAATTGGCACAGAAGGCTTTTTACTCCTGATTCTGCATTTCTTCCTCAATACCAGGGCTTGGCAAAGTGCCATGGTCTGTGGGCCAAATCTAACCTACCGCCTGTTTTTATACACCTGTTTTTATAAGGCCCATGGGCTAAGCATGGTTTTTTTTTTTTTAATTTATTTCTAGGAGAGAGAGAGAGACAGCGTGAGCAGGGGATGGTCAGAGAGAGAGGGAGTCACAGACTCAGAAACAGGCTCCAGGCTCTGAGCTGGCAGTCAGCACAGAGCCCGACGCAGGGCTCGAACCCACAAACCGCGAGATCATGACCCAAGCGAAAGTCGGACGCTTAACCGACTAAGCCACCCAGGCGCCCCTAAGCATGGTTTTTATATTTTCAAATGGTTAAAAAAATCAAAAAAGTAATATTTTATGACACGTTAAAACTTATGTGAAATTCAAATATCAAACAAAGTTTACTGGGTGTGATGATGCTCCTTGTTCAAGTAATGCCTATAGCCTCTTTTACAATACAATGGCCAAGTTCAGTAGTGGTGACAGACTGTATAGCCTAGAAAGCTTAAAATATTTACAGTCTGGTCCTTTACCAAAAACGATGGCCAACCCTGTACAATACATCGTGCTAACTACCAAGCAGCCTCCATTTTTGTTACAGGATGGAGCAAAGAAGACCTTCATCCCTGAAGAGATCTGTTAATTGCACAATTCACAAAGTATACAACACAAGGCCCTCTAAAATGTCTCTTTCGGGGCCCGGGTTCAAGGTTTGCTGTGCTTTTCCTCTTAGTGATAAACTCACATACATGGGATGGAGGGCTGGGGGATGGGAGACAGGCAGAGCTGCAGACCTAGGGACAGAGAATAGAGAGAGACAGAGAAACATATGCTAGTCTGTACATCAGAGTTGGTCAGTGGAGGAAAGATACCCACAATTAGCAGAAGAGACATTAAATTTCTGCAAAAAGCCAAAAAACTATACCCTGAGAGACCAAGTGACAGAACAGTGGTCTTTAAATCTTTTTTTTTTTTTAGTTTATTTTGAGAAATAGAGAGTGAGAGAGAGAGAGAGAGTGAACTGAGGAGGAGCAGAGAGAGGAGAGACAGAGAATCCCAAGCTGGCTCCATACTGTCAGTGTGGATGCGGGGCTTATACCCATGAACCATAGGATCATGACCTGAGCTGAGATCAAGAGTCAGACCCTTAACTGACTGAGCCACAGAGTAACTCCCAGGGGCCCCATGGTTAATCCAAGTGGCAAATCTGTAGAACCGAGAGAGAGACTGAACATCCCATTTCTTGGGCATTTTAAGTTAATTCCATTTTAGG